TCAGCTTTGCTTCCTGTTACTCCCCTATATCACTGTTCATTCTAGGCAAATTATCTTTTCCCCCTACACAAGATCTATTTCTGATCTCTGTGCTTTTGCACCAATATTCCCTAGTGCTAGAATGAACTCTTTCTTCACCTCCACTTTGTAGTCTCCCTACCTTCCTGCAAAGCATTGATCAGGTGTATGTCTTGCAAGAGGCCTCTCCAGATTCCTCCACTTATTTTGTGTTAATAAAAAAAAAAAAGGAATGCTGTGATTATAATTTCTCCAGAGAAGAGATGAGAAAATATTCTTTCACCTTGGTTTGCAGAGGTGGGGAACATTACATATACAACAGGGCTTAGCATGGTGCCTGGCATATAGTAGGCTCTTAAGAAATGCTTGTTGACTTGATTTGACTCAGTTGATGTAAAAGGTTAGTTTTTACAGAACTGTTTTTTCCACCTCATTCTTTTTTATTCTTTGTTACCCGTTTGTCTCAGTTTCCCCATCTGTAAAGTGAGCCAGAGAAGAAAATGGTAAACCACTCCAGCATCTTTGCAAAGGAAACCCCAAATGGGGTCATGAAGTGTTGGATATAACTGAACAACAACAACAAAGAGGATGGCTTTCTGGTTAGGGGAAGGGAAAGGACATATCTGTAAACAAAGGTAGTAATATTGTATCCCTTCCCCCATCTAGTAGAATGGGAACTTCCTGAGGGCAAAGATTGCTTCATTCTTATATTCCTAGTGCCTAGAACAGTTCCTGGCACATAGTAGGTGCTTACTAAATCTTTGTTGAATTGAATTAGCCATGATTCACTTGAATTATCAGCATGGGAGCTCCTTGAGGGTAGGGACAGTGTTTTTTGCCTTTTTTTGGGGGGGGATCTTCTATGCTTAGCACAAAGCCTGGCACAGAGTCAGTGCTTGACAAATGTTTGTTGACTTGATTTAATCCTTATTTTGCAGATGAGGAAACTGAAGTTCAGAGAAATTAAGTGACTCAGGTTGTGAGTGTCAGAAGCAGGATTTGAACCCTAGGCTTCCTGACTCCAGGTTAGATTGCATTGCCTCTTTAATGTACATTCTTTACTTTTGCCATGATTAAAAGTCAAATGCACTAGCTTATGTTTGGCAAAATTCATCTTTATCTCTTTTTTTTGAAAATTATGACATCTACCACTCTCCAGCCTTTTCACAGAGCCTGTCCCTCCCTACAAAGGTATAGCCTAGCAAAAAGCTTCCAAAGCCCATCAGTGCCTTTTGGAATTTCACTCCCTTGCCTCCCTCAGCAGTAAACTCGGGTAAGCCAGGGGAATGGTGCCACCTACAAATGGGCTTACCTGGGGGTTTGCTGGCAAATGATTTTGAATAACTGGATCTCCAAAGACTCCCGACACACTGAATCTGTACCAATAACATTTTCTTCATCACTTTCTTGTCTGGACAATCAACAAAACAATAAACCAGACCTCAATTTGTGAGATGTATATGCTCACAATGAAAGTCCAATAACAGAATCTCTCAAGCCAAGCTGACTCTAGCATATCCCTGGCTGGTTTGGAGTAGGGGAAGGTCGTTCTATCAATCTTATCACTACCAGAAGTGGATGGTTCCTAGAAGGGCAAAGAGGATGTGAAGGGCCTTGAGTTCATGTCACATAAAGATCAGCCAGGGAACTGGGAATGTTTGACCTGGAGAAGAGAAGGTCCAGGGGAGACCTAAGAGCTGTCTTCATTAATTCTAAAGGCTTTCATATGGAAAAGGAATTAGACCCATTTTGTTGGGACCCAGGGGCAGAACCAGGAGCAACTGGGGGACTTTGCCAAGAGCAAATTGTATGTTATTGCAACATAAGGAAACAATTCCTAATAAAGAGAATTGTCCCAAAATAATGCAAGCTGCTTGGGCAGGTGATGGGTTCTCCCTTACTGGGGGTCTTCACACAGAGGCTGGATAGCCACAGCATGCTCTGGTGGGAATTCCCTTCACATATGGGTTGGATCAGTTGGCCCCCAACGTTCTTCCAAATCTCAAATTCTGTGATTAAAATAGGAATAGGCAATTTCACTGACATACTGTCCATGCAAATGCTATGTGCTTTAAAAACAAAAAAAACACTACCATCCAATTTATTTAACTTCTTGGGCTCAACAAACCTTAATCTTCTAATGTGAGCATCTATTTGCAAATTTGCCACTCCAAGTGAGGAGCTCAAAGCCTTGTAGAAATCGTTCTCTCCCCATTAGCAAACACAATAGAGGAGCACCATGGCCAGCGCCCATGGCACTGGAATGCAGTCAGTAAGACCAAGTTTATATTTCACCTCACACCCTCTGAGGCTCAGTTTCCTCATCTGTAAAAGGTGTCTAGTAGGAGCACCTACTCTCAGGATTGTTGTGCGTGGAAGGAATGAACTTTGGAAACCTTAAAATACATGTGCGTTGTTATTAAGTTAAATGACTTATCCCTGGTCATGCAGGTAGGAAACAAATAAAAATGAAGATTATCACTGTTAGCTCATTCTTCTCACGTTCTGTTCTAAGGACAAGTCCCCAGCTCCCACTTCCCCTCTTCTCTTCCTCCATCTCTCCATCCCTCCCTCCTACTTCTCTTCATCTTATAAATGAGATTCACACACAACGGACACTCTTGCAGTTCCTTACTCAACCAAATCTTTATTTAGAATCTTTGGAAGCCATAAAACATTAGATCCAATAATATACATACACATTCAGCAGCTGCATTTCACGGCTTGCTTCCCATGACCCTCCTCTCCCAAATTATTATTATTCTTTAAACAAAAGCCCAAATGGTTCGGCTAAAACCCAAAGTGTGGCTTCTTTCCAGAACTGGTCCTTCCTAGGTGAGAAGGATATTCATTCACTTCCCCACACACCATGACTGGTTTATTGGAAAGTTGCAATGTAACTTTTTTTTTTTGGCAGGTACATATTTAACATAGAGAGAAAGTGCAAGTTACAAGGAGCAGACGTCCTACCCATTCTGGGCAGTGATGAAGGTGAAGGGTCTCCATTCCTCTTCTCTCCTTTTACAGGTGGAGGATGTGGGTGGAAAGGAACAGAACCCAAGACCCTGCAGTGTCCCCAAGATGCCTCTGGCAGTCATTCCATCCTGACCAGGAGGAAGACTGCTGAGGTCACATTTGCCAGTGCGATTTCTTCAAGGTGCAGATTTACATTTCAGGCCTGCTCAGATGTTGGAGGGTCTCTTGCGAACACACATAGATACTGGAGATTCCTGAATCTGTTGTTTCTTATGCACTGAGCAGCTGGCTCCCACTAATACTGTGCAGGCAGAAATCCATTAGAAGTTTGCTTGAAAAGCAATCAACACCAGCCACCAAAGACATTTCGGACGTAAAATTCAGGCACTCTATGCTTTGGAATAGCCATGTAATATTCCAACATGTTAATGCACTTTGTGATTACATAGATTCAAAGAGAATTTTCCATTAAAATCTACCCTTATTAAATAACATTTTAAACTAGAGCCCATAAAAGTTGCTTTTTATGACTTTCTGACCATTTACAAAATCGTGCTATGGTTAAATAATGCTAATCACTGATCTTGGTACTTATTTTTCCTAATACACTTATTACAGAGTTTGACAAGCAGCCAAGAGCATCTACAGACAAGCAGCCTCCCACCTCCCCCCACCCCTTTGGTAATAACGTATGAGACCAGTTTGAAAGATTTTCCTGTTTTTCTTTCTTTCTTTCTTTCTTTCTTTCTTTCTTTCTTTCTTTCTTTCTTTCTTTCTTTCTTTCTTTCTTTCTTTCTTTCTTTCTTTCTTTCTTTCTTTCTTTCTTTCTTTCTTTCTTTCTTTCTTTCTTTCTTTCTTTCTTTCTTTCTTTCTTTCTTTCTTTCTTTCTTTCTTTTTTTAAATTTGCATTCCATGGCGTGCAACTCTCTTGCAATGGAGTAGCCCCTCTGGAGCTAGGAAGACATGAGCAAAGCACGATTGTCCTTCCCCCCCACTCCCAGTTCATTTGTTAAATCGACTGCTGGCATCATGCGCCCCTTGACCATGGTCCCCACAATCTGCCCAGACAGAATGACTGATGTGGAGAGAACAGGAAGAGTAAGAATTCTGGCCCTGTCCTTCCTATAAAGGGAAGGTAACTGGTTCCAGCAGCTGACATGCTACAAACCTGATACAACTCACAAAGCTGTCCAGAGGCTGGGGGCTGGGAAATCCTCACTTCCAGGATAGGTTATAGTGGGAGCATACTGGCACAGGAATGTAAGCTGAGATGAACTCTGGGGGAATTCTGGAAACCCCAATATAATTTTGCCTTGTTGACATTCAGAACATGAATCTTAACTGCTCCAGTTGAACAAACCAAGGTATTTGGGCAAATGGTCTCTTCTGAAGGCGCATTTCACACGGCTCAGAAAACAATTTGGGTATGGTTTTCAGAAGACTGTCCATATTTTCATCTTGAGGCCTGCAAACTGACTCATTATAACCATCAAAGACTAATCCACAAAGACCAAATTGGAGGCATGTTTCAATGGTAAAGACTTAATGAGAAGAACACAGATAAAGTCCCATAGGAGAATTCGCTATTTTATCATTTAGAATGCTGGTAATTTAATTATACCACTAATGTTTTCTACCCCTCTTGGAAAAATTATTAGCATTAGTAAATCAGGACAGAGATGACAAGTCACTCAGTATTTGTTTCTGCTCATCAGCTGAGTTCTGACGATGCCATTCATCCTGTGGGTGATGCTGTATTTGTTAATTCCGGGTACAGTTGTTAGAAGAGGGGATCAAGGAAGAGATGTTGACCATCCAATGGTAGGTAGGAAGGCCAAGGCTTATTTCAACTGGAGAAGGTCACCACACCATAAGGGGAGAAAGAGGAGCAGAGACAGGGAGAGAGAGAGAGGGAGAGAGGGAAAGAGAGAAGAGAAAAGAAGAGAAGAGAAGAGAAGAGAAGAGAAGAGAAGAGAAGAGAAGAGAAGAGAAGAGAAGAGAAGAGAAGAGAAGAGAAGAGAAGAGAAGAGAAGAGAAGAGAAGAGAAGAGAAGAGGAGGAGATGATGATGATGGTGATGAAAATAATGATGTTCAGAGATGATTTATTTCTACAGGTAGGTGAAACCACAAGTCTCTTCTGAGCATAGAGGAGATGATGATCGACTGAGGACTACTGTTAATTGGTGCTTGGTTTTCATCCCAGCCAGGACCGTGCCTTAATACAGAGCTTTGGCCACAGCAGCAGTTGCCTCATTGACTTTGAAACAATGAGCTGCAGCTCAGGACAGCACTGTGAGTGTGACAGTTCCCCTTTGTCGCTTTAGAATGGCCACAGCTTGCTCATGAGTGACGCCTTCCAGGGCTTCGCCATTAACAGCCAATATCTGGTCCCCACGCTTCAGTCTCCCATCTTCTGCTGCTGCTCCCTACAAACAAGAGGGCACCGTCACCAAGCTGGCCAATTTAAGAAGCCTCTAACTAGATCTAGTTGGGCTCCATGTGAATGAATCATTTCAAAAGCCACCTATGAAATTCTTTCCATTTCACCTTCTTTCCTTTGGAAAAATATGCATTGTGGTCACAGAATCATAGGACGGTTAGAGCCGTCACATGGAGATGATAATAGGATCTACCTCCCAAGGTTTGGGGAGGTAATGAGATTCTTTAAAGACTGTATCAGAAGCTCCTGAAGAGACCTCAAAGGTCATCCACTCCAATCTCCTCATTTTACAGCTGAGGAAACTGAGGCAGACAGTGATTAAAGTGACTGGGTCAGGTCACACAGCTAGTAAGTGTCTGAGACAGGATCTGAATGTAGGTCTTCCTGATTTGAAGTTCAACACCCTACCCACAATCCCACATTGCTCTCAGAGAAAGGAAAGCATGCTGTGGCCTGGAGTATATGTGGGCTGGCTCTGTCGATGTGTGACTTTGGGTAAGTCAGGTCAACAAGCATTTATTAAGCACTTACTATATACCAGGCACTGTGCTAAGTGCTGGGAATACAAATAGATGGAAAAAAAAAAGGAGAATCCCTGTCTTCAAGAAACTTCCATTCTAACAAGGGAAGACAATGCAGAAAAGAAAGCTGAAAAGGAGCATGTGGAGGAATAAGGAGAAAGAAATTCGGAGTCAGGAGGGAGGCCTGGAGCAGAGTGAAGGCATGAGCAGGACTGACCTGGCCTTTCCTTAAAACAGAGCTTCTAGGAGAAACCAACCACTTAGAGGAAGGGGCTCCAAGGGCAGAGGAATCTTCCAGCGCGAGAAAGCTGCATGAGGAGCAAAGCCCAGAGCGGAATGAGAAAGGTCCCTTCTCAGTAAAATAGGGCAATCGGACCAGATGATCTAAGGCCCTTCTTTCCCTCCCCTTTCTGTGCATAATAAGGTAGTCCTATGAGCTCTGGGTCAAAGCAGGGGTTGGGCTGCAGGTTTTAGAAACCTGTGAAGGCATTCCAGGATGAGGTCTGTGGACATGGTTTAAAAAACATTTTAGTAAATCCAATACGCTTTATTTTGTGCATTTAAACACCATATTCTGAGAGGGGTCTCTAGGACCCACCAGACTACCAAGAGGGAGCATGTTCCCAGAAAGGACACTCAGTTTATGTGTTCCTGTCAGGCAAGGACTTTGCCAACCTTCAGGAGCTATAAACAAGTACAGTATTATCAGTGTCTGCAACACGAGGAGGACTGAGGGGACCAGGGAGAGAAGCGTTCGTTTCTAGGCACCGCATTTTAGGGAGGACGTTGACTGGCTGAAGAACACCCTGGGGCCAATAGAGGGGGTGGTCTAGGGCTTTGGTATATAATATATGAAGACTGGGTGAAGAAAGGCTGAGGAAGGGAAGACAGATGGGGACATGACAGCTGCCTCTGTCACTACTAAAGAGGGATCAGAAGAGCTCAACTCCTCGGGGCAGAAGTAGGGATGATGGATAGAAACTGTAGTGATAGGGGGGCAGCTAGGTGGCACGGTGGATAGAGCACTGGCCCTGCAGTCAGAAGGACCTGAGTTCAAATCCAGCCTCAGACACACTAGCTGTGTGAACATGGGCAAGTCACTTTACCCCACTGCCTAGACAAAGAAAGAAATCATAGTGATAGAAAGAAATCAGGGGATCATAACTCTCAAGCTGGAAAAGGTCCACATTCCCACCTTCATTTTACAGATGAGGGGACTGAGGCCGAGGGAAATGAAGAGACTTGCCTTAGGTCACACGGGAGTTGGGAGCAGAGCAGTGATTTGGGGTCAGGGCTGCCCCAAAGTGAACTGGGCTGCCTTAAAAAGATGGCGGCCTCCCCCTCCCTGGAGGGCTCCAAGACAAGGCAGGTGCCACTTGTTAGGGGTGCTGCAGAGGGGCTTCTTGTGGAGGTATCAGTTGGACTAAATGGCCAGTGAGCATCCCTTCCACTTCTGAACCATCTGATTTCTGTAAAACCTTTTCCCCTCGCTGACGGTGAGGTTTCTTCAGATGTGGTGGTGCGGTGGAAAGAACATTGGATATGGAGCCAAGGACTTAGGTTCAAATGCTGCCTTTGATGCTTATTAGTTGTGTGACCTTGGGCAAGTCTCTTCCCCCCAGGCCTCAGTTTCCCTAACTGTACAATGAGGAGTTTGCATTAGATGGCCTCTGAGGTCCCTTCCACCTCTAAGTCTGTGATCCATGATTAGGAGACAATCAGGATAAGTACTTTGCTTCAAGGTAAAGCATAATATCATTCACCATCTTACCAAGGCTTCTTTAACTTTTCGAAAACCCACACATGACATAAAAACAAAGAAAAATACCTTCGCAAAGATGGTCTTGACGTAGATGGGCAGATCACCATGGGGACTTCCGTAGCCCCCCACGATACTGAAGCCCAGCCCATCAGAGCCCTTCTCCAAAGTGATCATCTTCGGCTGAGGAGTTCTGGAAGCACAGGAAAAGGAATAAACGAAAAAGTTTTCTAATTAATTTAATTAAAAAAGGTTTACTTTGTTCAAAGAATGCACGCCATGAAAAAGAAGAAGGGATATTGGGAGGGAATTTCACTTTAATGGAAGGGACAAGGACTGGAGAGAGCCTTTGTTCACTTACTTGAATGCATTTCCTACCTAAAATTGGCCTAAGGCCATGAGTTGCATGTACCCCAAGGTTTTCCCTTTCCCTGGTCGCGGGGTATTTAGGATGGATTAAACTGGGCAAAAGTAGAGTGAAGTTCTTTCTACGTCACCCACGCCAGGCCGGTCAATTTTCCAAGTCCAGAAGGTAAACTGAGGTAAAAGCACCCATTCTGGATTTTGCCAGTGGAGATAATCACACATGTGAATTGATCACTTACTCTGGGTCTTCAGGATGGTGGTCGCTGGAGGGGGAGCCAAGGTGGTAGCTGGCAGACATGTTTTCCAGCTGAGTTGCAATAGCACTGATATTAGTATCAGCTACTACCTATAGGGAAAAAGGTAGACGTGTGTGAGTAGAGCCTCAAGCCTAAGCTTCACTAAAGGATTAAGGGCAAAAATCATGGACCAGTGATGCTCATGACAACAACCTCTTGGAAACAAGCATTTCTTAAGCACCCACTATGTGCTGGGTAGTGTGTAACTCCCATCCAATCACTGCTAGCTCTGCCCTCTGAGACCGAGCACACAAGCCGCTCCGATCCTTGAAGACAGTTGTCGCGTCCTCACAGGCTACACATCTAAGTTCCTGCAGGCCCGTGCCCGTCCCCTGACTGGCCCCCACCCTTGGAATGCTCTCCCATCTCACCTCTGCCTCTCAGATCTCAGCTTCCCTTCAGACTTACCATCTTCAGGAGGTTTTCTCCCTGGCTCCCCCCACCCCCAAGCTGTTCGTGCCTTGCCCTCTAAGGTTCTCTTCATCTACTCTGGATACGTTTTGTATGCCTTTGCTCTCTCCCCATTAGAATGTAAGCTCTTTGAGCTGTTTTGCTTCGGTCCAAGGCTTATTAGCACAGAGGAGGCATCATAGTCGGTGCTTAACAGATATCTTTTTGATCAGTTGCTTGACTGACTCCTGTACGGCAAGGTCTCCAGGCCCTTTACCGCGTCCTCCACCCTTCTTATACCCACTCAAGTTGTTCCACGTCCTTTCTAAAATGCAGGACCTAGAACACAATCTGACAAACACAGTCCCTTTAAGGAAAGAACATTTCCAATCATTTAAGGAAATCTCATCTGGAAATATTCTATAGCTGGGTCCCACACAAAAGACTTTTGAAATCTTAGTTTTAAAGACTATTTCGGCAGGAGCCACAGCCACCCATTTCTTTAACATTAAAGTTACAAAATACTAAGTTTGGCTCTTTCTTAACCTATCAACCTATTGTGCTGCTTCTGCTGAAGTGTGGCAATTCCAACTGGACTTTGCGGGGTGCCTCGTTGGAATCGGCTGCTGCCCCTCAGTTCCTGCATGGGCTCCGTCTTGTAGAAATTGGAAATGTTGAAATAAAAGGAGAGGTCATTAACAGCAGAGACGACTTCTACTTCCCAGCACATTTCCCCCTCTGACAACACCCTGGGGCTACTGAGGCTGATAAATAATTGTCTTCTTTGCTTGATCACGCCTCTCTACTGGGAAGTTAAAGTGCGGGCAACTATTCAGGCTACAGAAAATGAATAGTACGCTTCCTCCTTTCTTTTAAAGGCAGAGGAAATTAATACACGGGGCAGCTCAGTCACAGTGTCTGGGCGCATAAGGAAAGAACTCATTTCATTCCCAGCCAACCTGGGTTAACAAAAGAACACTGGAAGCCAAAAGCCTTGTTGATTTATCGCGCGTAACAGAGAGTAATTTTTCTCTCCTCGTTAGGCTTTCGTAAAATCGTGCTCACTGCCTGGATGGGTGGCATTAAGGAATTTCTGAATAAAAATAATAATTTCTTGCTTTTCAGCTGGCATAATTCACACTGGCTGGGCCATGCGGGTTCCTGCCAGTGACGCTCAATCTTTTCTGAAGGCCACTTATCTACCTATTGCAGCTGCCTGGTCCATTTCTCACTGTACCTGCAGAATAATGCGCCCGTAAGCATTCTTGAGTAGATTAACAACGTCAGCATGAGACAGTCCATCCAGAGGTTGCCCATTAATGCTGACAATCCGGTCTCCAACCTAGAAGGACAAAAGTGGAAAGAAAAGACTATCATTTGAGAAAAATTAAATTTGAGGAGAACGCTGGAAATTCTTTGGGAGCTGTGTTTCCTATATGTGGCTTTTGTGTAGTTTCTATATCCCCCCCCTGAGAGTATGTGCTCAAGGAAGTAAGAGGAATTTTTATGATTCCAAAGAAGAATTTTTTTTTTTGCGGACCCATCAGAGAAATAAGATGGGGGTTAGTTTCATTATTAAGTCTGTGACATGGAAAAATGACCTGGTAGACTGCTTTTGTAATCTACTAATGATGAGGCTGCAGGTGAACGCCTGCTGATAAGAGTGGGGGGTTCCAACTGGCTGGTCAATGAAACCCTAATGTTGAAGCTGAATATTCATGGTCTTATTTTTCTAACTAAGTAAAGATTAAGTGGTAATAGGCACAATTTCATACAAATCTTGATTCTTGTGGTTGAGGAAAACCTTCCAGGGAGAGCCCTTTTCATTTAAAAATCAATTTTGAGCCGAATGGGGTATAAAAAAAAGTTAGAGAAGGTAGTACAAATGTATGGCCACTTAGGCCTTTCATAGAGGAAACTCCGATACAAGCAATCCCCTAAGACCCACAGGATCGCCGTGACTGATTTCACCCTCAGCGTAGGATGGTTGGGATTGGCCTCTCTCCATCCTGGCGCCATTTTGCATTTCGCACTTCATACTATTCATTCTCCATGCCTTTTTCTTTCCTTACCTTGAGTTTGTGCGTACGTGCTGCAACTCCACTAGCTTGAATCATGGCAATAAAGATGGGAATATCTCCAAGAGGGCTGCCCTTTCCCCCTGCTATGCTGATTCCCAGGGCGTCATTCAGCTCCTGACAAGGAGGGAAAAAGTACCAGGTCTGCATCCTATTGCTGCTACTTCATGACAAGTTACACGGGTGTACACAGATGCATGTAAACGTCTTTGTTAAAATACGCTAGAAATAACAAAAGTTCAGTTTCTCACCCAGTGTCACTTCTTTCTTTTCTCCTCTGTTAATGATTATGTTCCAAATTTTAAAAAGACAGATAACAAAATAAAGAAGTTTATCTATAGACAGAGCAGACAGTTGTGCAACTGGCCAATTCATGACCTGGGGATCAAGCCAGGAACGCCAAGACCTTGGCTATGTCTGAGAACCAGTGTGGATGTCGATGGGCAGCGTGGTATGGAGGAGAGACCCCTAGCTGAGGAGCCTGAAGACATCAGGTCAATTGCTGGTGCCCTCATTTACCAGCTGTGCAGCCCTGGGCAAGCCTCTTTCCTTCTCTGGGCCTCAGTGTCCTCATTCAGTAGAATATAAGCTTCCTGTGGGCAGAGATTATCTTACTTCTGTATTCGTGTTTCTAGTACCTAGGGTTAGAACTATACCTGGCTCATCAGAGAAACTTAATAACTACTCATCAGTTGAGAGAAGCAGAGCAAGGTTGTGGGTAGAGCATGGGACCTGGAAGGAGAAAGGCTTGGGCTCAAATCCTGCCTTAGACAGCTCCTAAATGAGTGACCCACAGAAAGTCATTTAACCTCTCTGGGTCTCAGTTTTCCCATTTGTAAAAGGAGAGAGCTGAACTCAGGGACCTTTAACATCCCTTCCAGCTCTTTTACTTATTTTTTTAAAAATTATTTATTTAATATTTTAATTCCTTTCCAGCTCTAAGTCTACGACCCTGGGAATAAACAGACAGAGTGGGAATAGAACATCTCCAAGATCATTCTTGCTTTTTACTCCCATGAAGAGAGAAATTTACTTATGCTCTCATCACTTCCTGGACTTCGGGAAATACTCTGGTGAATTAAGAGGGTGGGAGGGCACAGGGAGACAGATGCTGGCTTTCTAAGCAGAGACCCAAGGTTCCAAACCTAGCTATCCTCTTTGTTAGTTATATGAGCCAGGGTAAAGTCACTGGACCTTTATAGACTTCAGTGTCCTCTGTCAAAGGAGAGGGGGTCTGTTGTGGGGCAGGGTTCTTAATCTGAGCTTCTTAAATTTATTAAAATATATATATCAAAGAGACAGAGGAGTAGATTTCAATATAATTGGTTTCCTTAGTAATGCCACATATCTTTTCATACGCATTTAAAACCAGGATTTTGGAAAGGGGTGGCCAGGCTTCACCAGACTCCCCCAGGGGTACCCGACACACAAAAGGTGCATAATCCTTGTACTACAAAATCTCTGCTCATGAGAAGCTGTGGAAGCAGGCTTGAAGTCTATCCTTAAGTAGTTTGTTAAGTAAGGCTCTGCATATATATCATGCTGCTCTGGTACAATACAAAGCAAATGAAATATATTGGTGCAGAAAATAGTGTTAGATCTCGAGTAAGAAAGACTTGAATAGAAATCCAACCTCAGATACTTACTAGATGTATGATGTTGGGAAAGTCGCTGAGTGGCTGTGTGCCTCAGTCTCCTTAACCATAAAATAAGGATAATAATGGCACCTACCTCCCTGGGTTGTAAACTTGCAAGCTGACCCACCCAACCCTTGATGCTCCCAGCTCTGCCTTACAAAAGGACCACCTATCAAACGGAGCTTGAAATCATAATTCATCTAATTTTCAATAAAAAAGAATTCAACAGATATTTGTTAAGTGTGTATTTGGTGCCAGGAAGGTACAAGCTGAAAGAAGCCACGATCCCTGCCCTCAAGGAGCTTGCCCACTAGTTGGGGGGTAAGATGCCAATCAAGATAACAATAATCTGGAACCCAGAGGAGAAAGGGCTCCTTCGGTAGGCCGTGAGTCTCCCCGCACTGGACACCTGCAGGCAGAGGCTGGCTGACCACTTGTTGGGGATCCTTATTCAGGCACAGGCCACACTAGATGACCAATGAGGTCCTGACAGCTCTGAGATTCAACCAACAAGTATTTCTCAGCGCTAAGCGCTGGGAATACACAGAGGCTGTGCCTGTCCTCAAGGACCTTAAACAAAACCCATGGGATAACAACAGTACTTTGATACTGAAAGTCTGTAAGGGAGGGGCAACGCGAAGTGTTATGTGAGGTCTGAGGAGGAAGAGGCCATTTCTGATTTGGGGGAAGGGGATCCAGAAGGGTTTGATGGCCGAATTGTGGAAATGCTTCTGGGACACAGCTGATGGACTTACCCGTATGATCTCTACAGTCCTTGGGCCCATGTCAGTTCCTATTAAATGAAGAAGCACAGGCTTAACGTTCTGAGTTAAGACAGTTCAATGAAGAGATAATAACATTAGGGGACTGGCGCCTTCCAAAAGCAAGTCCTTAAGTAGTCAGCTTTTTCTCGACAGCCAGATGTTGTTGCTCAGTCACAGCCAACTCTTTGTCGGATGACCCACCCCATTTGGGGTCTTCTTGGCAAAGATACTGGACCGGTTTGCCATTTTCTCCTCCAGCTCATTTTACACATGAGGAAACTGAGGCAGACAGGGTTAAGCGACTTGCCCAGGGTCACCCAGCTAGGAAGTGTCTGAGGCCAGATTTGAACTCAGGAAGATGAGGCTTCCTGACTCCAGGCCCAGCACGACATCCACTTTGCCACCTAACTCACGAGGAGCATTGACCACGGACCGTGTCTGCAGTTACAAGGAGGGTCGCTGGGCCAGAGATGGACAGATCCATAATCATGCACCTGGGCCTGCCAGATGCTGATGGAGAGTGTCATGGAAATAGAGGGAGAGAGAAAACACACCCAACCGGCCTTGAGGCTGGACCCTTTCTGTCTATAGGAAAGAACCTGCTTCCTTGTTTGTTTTTTTCCTGTCCTGAATTAAAGGCTGGCCTACCCCGGTAAGACAAAGCTTTCTTTTTCTTCTATTTAGAAAGATTTCAAGCGTGAACTTCTGACCTGCCTCTGATGAATGACAATTGATTTCATTTTGTCTGTGGCTGGCAAGGCAGAGTTTGGAGGGGACAGAGGGTCAGCCTTGGAGACTGGGTTCAAGTCTTACCTCTGACCCGTTCTAGTTTTGGTGGAAAATAGCATTTCTAGAATTTATTTTATGAGGTAGGAGAAGGGGGGCCTGAAGTGTGATAATGTGAAAAAAGGGCTTTGGAGCCACTAAAATGTCAGCTGCTATTCCATTTTTACTGAACTCTCTCTCTCTCTCTCTCCCTCCCTCCCTTCCCCACCTCCTCAAGCATGGACTGCTGACCTGCTTCTAATGACCTACAATTTCTTCATTTTCTCTGTGTGAACTGCTTTAATATATTGGTTTTATTTTACAAGACCCCTGGGGATTTTTTTCCTTCTGTTCCAAATGCTTCTCTGCTTTAATAAAGTGGAAGAAATATTTCACATTGAAACTCTCTGGCCTTGTTTACTGTTGGTAGGCCTGTGAGAACCTTGAGGAATAGGTCTCAACCTCCAAAGGCTTACGGAGATTTGGACCGAAGCGAAAAACTTGCCCCAGTGAGGAGGCGACCTGAATACTTCCCGCTTCATTGTTCTGTGGCAGAGGCAAACCGTACCTGAGTTTCTCTGGGCAGAGTCCGAGGGCCTCTTGGTACTAACCAGGTTTTGCAAGCTGGTGATAACGGGAGCCAAGGAAGGAGGAAAGCTGCTGCGGACACTGTGTTGACTCATCTACAATGGGAAAAGCAGTCAGATTTGAAAGTCTGGTCCTCCCGATGACCTGTGAAATGTGTTGTTAACTAATTTTTTTTAAGCGAGGTAACTGGGGTTAAGTGACTTGCCCAGAGTCACACAGCTAGCGAGTGTTATGTGTCTGAGGCCAGATCTGAACTCAGATCCTCCTGACTCCAGGGCTGGTGCTCTATCCACTGCAGCCATATATTTTTAAAAGCAAGAATATTATACTTCAATTTATACTCAGAGTTCAGCAGTTCTTTCTCTGGAGACAGCATGTTTTCATCATAAGTCCTTCGGAATTGTCTTAGATCATGGTATTGATCAGAGTAGCCATGTCTTTCACAGTTGATAACCATTACAGCATTGCTGTTACTGTGCACAGCGATCTCCTGGTTCTTTTTCCTTCACTTTATATCAGTTCATATAGGTCTTGCAACGTTTTTCTAAAACCACCCCAGTTTGTCATTTCTCATAGGACAACAATATTCCATCACAATCATATGCTACAACTTGCTCAGCCATTCCCCAGTGGATGGGCATCCTCTCAATTTCCAGTTCTTTGCCACCACAAACAGAGCTGCTGTGAATATTTTGGTACACGTGGGTCCTTTTCCTTTGACTCTTTGGAATACAGACCTAGAAGTGGTACTGCTGGGTCCGAGGGTATGCACAGTCTTACAGCCATCTAGGCAGAGTTCCAAATTGCTCTCCAGAATGGTTGGGCATTCCACTACTACACCAGCAGTTCATTAGCATACTCCCTTTCCTCTCATCCCCTCCAGCTTTGTTCCATGAGACTTCAAGAAATAATAAGAGTTGTTTTAATTTGCCTTTCTTTAATCAATAAGGATTTAGAATTTTTTTTCATATGACTATAGATAACTGTGATTTCTTCTTCTGAAAATTGACCATTTACCAACTAGGGATGACTCTTATTTTTATAAATTTGTCTCAGTTCTATACCTGGTATGCATTTGAAAAACGAGGCTCTTATCAGAGAAAATTTGCTGTAAAGTTTTTTGACGTTCCTTCATTATCTATGGTACCTTTTAGCAAAATGTAGTTTCCCTGATTATCACCTTTAATTAGGTATATTCTGGCTTTTGTTTTGTCTGAGATCATGATTGCCACCCCCCCTTTTTTTTTAAACTTCAGCTGAAGCATATTAGATTCTGCTCCAGCTCTTTATTTTAACTCTCTGTGTATCTTTCTGTTTCAAGTGTCTCTTATAAACAACATATTGTTGGATTCTGGTTTATCCACTCTGCCATCCACTTTCATTTTATGAGCAAGCTCATCCCATTCACATTCACAGTTATGATTAATAACTGTGTATTTCATTCCATCCTATTTTCTTATTTCTTCTCTTTTTCTGCTGTCTTTTCTCAGAAGCCTATTTTGTTTCTAACCACTTGCCTTCCTTACTCTGCCCTCCCTTTTATTATCTCTACCCCTACCCCCTTATCTCTATCACCTTCCCCTCCTATTTCCCTATTGGATAAGTTAGATTTCAATACAAAATTGAGTGTATATATATTTATATATGTACTTCCCTCTTTGAACTAATTCCAGTGAGAGTGGGGTTCAACTATTGCCCATCCCCCCATTATAAAAGCTCTTCCTTGTACTCTTTTATGTGAGAAAATTTACCCCATTCTACCTCTCCCTTCCCCCTTCTCCCAGGGCATTCCTCTTTCGCACTCCTATGTTCTTTTTTATTTTGGAAATCATCCCAACATAATCAATTCATACTCATATACTATGTCTATGGAGAATATTTTTAACTGTCCTAATAATGATAAAGTTCTTAGAAGTTACAAGTATTATCTTCCCATATAGGAATGTAAACAGTTTAACTCCATTGAATCCGTTATGATTATTCTTTCAAGTTTACCTTTTTATGCTTCTCTTAAGTCTTCTGTTTGAATGTCAAATTTTCTATCCAGTTCTGGTCTTTTCATCAGGAGTGCTTGGAAGTTCTCTATTTCATTAAATATCCATTTTTCCCCAGAAGGAATTTATATTCAGTTTTGGGGGGTAGGTTATTGTTGGTTGTAATTCTAGCTCCTTTGCTTTCTGGAATATCATATTTCAAGTCTTCTGTTCCTTTAATGTGGCTGCTGATAAATCTTGTATGATCCTGACTGTGGCTCCAAGATATGGGAATTGTTTCTTTCTGGTGCTTGCAATATTTTTTCTTTGACATGGGAGTTCTGGAATTTGGCTCTAATATCCTCGGGAGTTTTCATTTTTGAGATCTCTTTCAGGAGGTGATAGGTGGATTTTTTTATTTTTATTTTTATTCTCTGGATCTAAGATAATACCAGTTGGTGAAGGATCAAGAAAAGCCTCATGGTGGAATCATCGGGGCAGAGCCAAGATGGCAGAGTGCAGGCTGGGCCCTGGCTGAGCTCTCCCAACATTCCCCACCAAACAACTTTAAAGTAACACCTCAAGTCAAATTTTGGAGCAGCAGAGCCAAAAAAATGTTCAAGGCGAGGCATTTTCCCATTTTCCAAGACAACTTGGAAGGTCTGAAGGAGAGGTCTGTACCAGCAGGGTAGAATCCTGTTTGGGGCCCACCAATGCAGTGGCAGTAGGGGCAGCTCCAGGAGCTCTCAGCCTTGAAATGGTCAGAAAGGGATACGAGGGGCCTTTTCCTGGCTGGTGCTGATTGATGACTCTATTGCCCATACACAGTTCTGGGTCACAGTTCCAGGATGAAGAGGAGTGTTTGTAGTTATTCACAAGGAAGCAGGGGCCCTGGTCTCAGTTCCAAAGCAAAGAGGAGTGGTAGTTCTTATGGGTGCAGGGCACCAAGGGGACTTCCTGGGTAAAGAACAAAATGCAGGCCAGGAGAGCAGTGACCACGCCTCTTCCCAGATCACACAACCTTGGAAGCACCAAAAACCTGTAGCCCCCCAGAACTAGCTCTGAAAACAACAACATAAAAAAAGCCTGATGCTCGGGACAGTGCCTCCTCAGAGCAGAGGCCATAACATTAAGCTCAAAGTCATGAAATAGCCTGGGAAAATGAGTGAACAACAACCACCAATAAAAAGAACTTGACTATAAAAAGCTGCTATGGTAGCAGGGAAGACCGAGATATAAACTCAGAAAAAGACGACAATGTGAAAACAGCTACAGCCAAAGCCTCAAAGAAAAATGGTCATTGAATCCAAGCCAAACAAGAATTCCTGGAAGCATTGAAGAAAACAATGAGTGGTAGAGGAAAAATTGGGAAAAGAAATTAGAGTGGTAAGCTCCTTGACCATAGCAGTTTTTGTAGGAACTTGGCAGTGCTGGCCTATCGCTACTGTTGAGTCATTTCCGTTGTATCTGACTCTCTGTGACTCTATTGGGGATTTTCTTGGCAGAGATACTAGAGTGGCTTGTTATTTCATTCTCCAGCTCATTTGATAGATGAGGAAACTGAGGCAAACAGGGTTAGGTGACTTGCCCAGGGTCACACAGCTGAGGAAGTGTCTGAGGTCAGATTTGAACTCAGGAAGATGCTTGGCATACAGTAGCCATTTAATAAATGTTTGCTGGGTTACTGATTTGGTCCCAGAGGGCAGAACTGAGAGAAGCAAATGTAAGTTAAATGTCAGGAAAAATAATTCAGGGCCATTCCAAAGGGGGATGGGCCACCCCAAAGGTGGTGAGATCTCTGCCCCGGGAAGTCTCCAAGCAGATGCTAGACAACCGTGGACATGTATTGAGAGTGGGCCCTCCTTTAGGCATGGTTTGGTTTAGATGGGAGGAGGGGTGCCTTCTAATGCTACAAATTCTCTAAAATGCCCCCAAAGTGGAGCAGGACAGCCACTTTGGCTTTTGTAGCTTGCACTGAAGCAAAAGGCATTTTAAAACTATTTACTACTGCAAGGCATGCAAAAAATAAAACCATCCTCACTCTCAAGGAGTTTATATTCTGTTGGGAGACATCGTGTAATATGTGAATAGATACAGAATAAATAAAAAATAAAGCATCTGGTAATTGGGAGGGACAGTGGCAGTTGGGGGTGGGTCATAAGAGGCTTTGTGTGGAAGGTTATGCTTGAGTTCTGGCTTGAGAAAAAACAGGGATGTGTAAGGTAGAAGAGAGGAGGACAGAGCGCATTGCGGAACACTGGGACAAAGGCCCAGAGAGGAGCTGCAGTGTTTCTCTCTCTCTCTCTCTCTCTCTCTCTCTCTCTCTCTCTCTCTCTCTCTTCTTCCTTTGTCTCTGTCCCTTCCCTACCTCCTCTCCCCTCCTCTTTCTCTTCTTTCCCCCTTTCTCTGTCTCTGTCTCTGTCTCTCTCTGTAATGGACAGAAGGTCAGCTTGGCTCGATCGTAGAGTGTGAGAAGAGGAGTGATGAAGAGGGAGGCTGGGGCAAGGTGTAAAGGGCTTGAAAGGCCAGATGGAGGGAGGAGTTTCTGTTTGATCTTAGAGGCAACAGGAGCCTCTGGAGTTTATAGAGTAGGGGAGTGGGAATGATCAACTTGACTTTCTTTGATGCTATTTATTCTGGGAACTGAGCATTTAAAATGCCTCAAAGGGCATGTCTTTAGACCGTGGCCACGTCCTGGGCACATCTTCTTGCTGACAGGAGTAAGTCCGAGGAACACCATCACCAAGAAATGATACTTCTTTTTTTTTTCTTCCTCATTACTTCTAATGGTTCCCCGTAAAGGCAGCTGGGTGGGGCCACAGTGCACAAAGCGCTGGGCCTGAAGTCAGGAAGACCTGAATTCAAATCCTGCCTCAGACACTTACTAGCTGTGAGACCTTGGGTAGGTCACTTAACTTTTGTCTGCCCCAATTTCCTCAACTATAAAATGGGGATAATAATAATACCTAGCTCATTTCACTCTGAGGTAGTTGTGATTATTAGTATGTTTATCCTCTTATCAGCCCTAAACAGGCTTCTTTCAAACTTCTGCCCTCTGAGACAAAAGAACAATTCTGATCTCCCTTCTGAAGGCATGATAACCTTTAAATACTTGAAGACAGTTATCAAGCCTCCTCCCCACTCTCTGCCCCAAGTTAGAAAGGCAAAATGTTGCTAATCTCCTCCTCTTCTCTTCCCTTCTTTTTCCTTCCTTTCCCTTCCCTTCCTGGGCTGCTGGATCCCAAGGTCATCTGTACCTAAAGCTGAAGCAACATCTATTCCAGCCTCTTCACTTTACAAATGAGGAAGCCAGGATGGAGAGGGGCTACGTGCCTTGTCCCAAGTGACACGATATTAAACATCACAGTCAGGATTTGAATGTCAAGTAGAATGTAGGGCTTCCAAAGCCTGAGATTCCAACGTTAGTATGGCTTAACAGTACTGGTTGCCTCCTCCCCATTCCTGTAGAAGTATACACTTCCTTGTGAAAAGCCCACAATGCCATCAGCAGCTCCTGGTTCTGTTTGGCTAACCCATGAAATCACAAACATTTCTCAGGTCATTCTCTGCCTGGCCTGGTCAGTCACAATGCCTACTTTGCCTCATTCCCTCTGAAAAGCCAGTGGAAGAGAGCAGGCAGCCCCATTGAATCTCTTTTATACAAGAGTCACTGTGGTTTCAGAATATGCATCCCGTTCTCTGGGAAACTCACTTCAGTAGGCTTGGGCCATAAAGGGGGTCCTCGAGACAGTCATCTAGAAACAGCTGCAGGCTGATAACCATGGAAATGGGGTGACCCCTCTCACTGAAAATAGCTTCTGCAGCCTTAAGACAAAAGGCCGTCTATGCCCAAGCACAGCGTGAGTGGATTAGCGGGCTAAGTACAGCGAGGACTCTTCAGCGAGGCGGTACAGTTTAACTGTCTACCGCCAGCATTCAGAGCCAACCATGGGGAAGAAGGTACTGCAAAAGGGCTTTTGTTTTTTTAAAGATGACGCTTATTTTAATCTTGCAAAAAAGCCCCAAATATCTGCCAGCACGGCGGGTAATGCCAGTCCACAAAACCAGGGAGAACCTGGCATTCCCCTCTCCCCCAAGAATGACTCATTAAATGTCCTCGCTATTCACAAGTTAGCTTGATGGCAAAATTTCATTGAAGGACCAGAACAATGCTGAGCTAACGAGGGTCAAATTGCCACCAGATGTTACCTTTTTAATAAACACAGCTGTGTCCAAATGCAGTCAGGCAGCTCAGCCCCAACTGGGGAGCAGAGGAGAGTGTTTCGAGGAAAATGTTTGCCGGCAATAAAGGGACTAGAAAAATTGGTGAATTAATAAGCCCCTCGCTTTTATGTTCCATCCCTTTGCATTTAAACCTCATTGAAATAATATGGAACTAGGGGACCTGAAACCCACTTTATAGAAGACAACAATCCAAACAGCCAGAGGTTTGAAAAGCCACCGTTATTAAAGTGGGAAGGCTCTGTCAGTTAGGAAGAAAGGAAAAGGGAGGCAGAATGGTTCTATGGGAAGACAGAGGGCCTGCCCTGATGTTTACTACCCTTGGGACCCTGGCACTCTAAGAACCATCCTCTGGAAGTGAGTGGCTTCTTCTAGAGGGAGTCTGAGGTCCTTTCCAGATCTAGACCTATGATCTTCTAAGTGAATAATAATAATTATCATATCTTACATGCACGTCATGCTTCATAGTTATGTATAGATATCACAGAATTTCAGAGTGGGAATTCCAGTCTACATCTGACCTAGAATCCTTGCTGCAAAATGCCCAACAAAAGACAATTCGGTCAGAAGGCCTCTAGCAAAGAAAAATTCACTAGCTCCCGAGGCCACGGAAACATCGCATTTAAGTTTTTTCCTGACATCAAGCCTGATTTGGCTCCTTGCAACCCCCACCCATTGCTGCTCATTGTGTGCTCTGGGGCCAAGTAGAATGAGTGGGAACCCTCTCCCATGTAAGAAATCTTGGCAGATGACTTATCATGTCACTCCTTGTGTCTTCTACAGGCCAAACACAGCCTGGATTCCTACAACCTACTGTTATATGACAAGACGTCAAAGCCTTCACCATCTTGGTTGGCCTTTTAAAAAACACTTATTTATTTTTAAATTTATGGTATAAAACAAGCATTTCTATAACACAGTATAATAAAAAAGATACTGCACATGAAGCTACAAATCTATTATGTGTTATGTATTATGCTATTCCTTTTAAATATCTAATAAAGTTATCGTGTAAATTTCTTTTTCTCCCCTTTTTTCCTTCCCTCTTTTCCTTCCCTCTCTCTCTCCTACCCCATCCTAGAGATGACCACCATTAGACAAATAGGAATAGATCTATATAAAATTATTCTCTACATATTTCTATTTATCAGTTCTTTCACTGGATGCAAACAGTGACTTTCTTCACTGTCCTTTATGGTTAATTTCAATATTTATGCGAGTCCAAATGACTTATTCACTCAGTGTTGTTCTTAAAATGATATTGCTTTTACTGTATACAATGTTCTTTTGGTTCTGCTTATTTTGCTCTTCATTATTTCTTGCAAGTCTTTCCGTGTTTTTCTAAAATCAGATCAAAGCATACGTCCTTTGTCCCTGGACGCTACAACCATCCTAATGGCAGCCCGAGTTTCATGAGCCTCTTGGTTTGAATGCCATGTCCTATTATTAACTTCCATTGAGTTTCCGGTTCATTAAAACTTCCACATCTTTCTCAGGAATAGCTGTTAAACCATTTTAGGAACAATGGTTTGCTCTTGAGAAGCTGACTATGTGAACCCAAATGGCAGCATTTCATTGAGTCTCCATAGGAAGCTCAATGACGTTGGTACTGCAGGAATTATTATCCTCTCTCCTATTGCAGAAGAAAGCCAACCTGAAAGATGGTGTCAGTACTTGAACCCAGGTTTCTGATTCCAAGTCTGGGGTCTTTCTTTTCATCAGAGCCATTCATTGGGATTTCCATTGGGAATTCCCTCTCACCATGCATTGGCTCAATAACTTCGAGTCTTAAAGATGTGCCCAGGGGTCACGAAGTCACAGAGCCAAGTACGTGCTGGGGATTCCCGGAGTCTTTTCCATAACATCCCCTCCCTCCCTGTGAATTAGAGAAGTCCACTCGCTCATTGTTACTACCAGTCTCCTTCAAGGTCACTACTCACCTGGCTGTTCTGAGAGGTCTTCCTTGAAGAGAGCCACGAACCAGCTCTTAATCTTCCGATCTCCAGCTGCACAAGGCCTTGAGCACACTTGGGATGAAAAACAAAAGAAGCCCAGACAAAAACCATCAGTGGAAGGCTCCAGCCTGGCCCTGTGCATCTATGAGCCAATGCTCTGTAACTGGTGGCAGGCTGAGAGGCTGATGAGAATCATTCCCATGGAAAGTCACTTCCTTTAGGGCAGCAACTGTTCATTATTGTCTTGGTATACCCATTGTACAGAACCTGGAACACAGTTGGTGATTAATAAGTGCTTACTGAGTGACTGAATATGCTGCTACTAGTCACTTTTCAACCAACAGATTTTACCTCTGTGTCTGTCTGTTTTTTTTTTTTTACTTTTTAGGCAATTGGGGTTAAGTGACTTGCCCAGGGTCACACAGCTAGTAAGTGTCAAGTGTTTGGTCTGAGGCCAGATTTGAACTCAGGTCCTCCTGACTTCAGGTCTGGTGCTCTATCTACTGTGCCACCCAGCTGCCCCTGTTTGTTTTTTTTCAATGAAGTTGATTCAACAAATGACTAGTTTGGGATTTTCCCTCTTAATTTGCCTACTTTGGAAGAAATGCATTTAAGTAAGTGACACAGTTAAAAAAATGCACATAGGCAGGGAGATGGTGTCTATGAGGGGGAGGAGGAGATCCATCTGAAAACTGAATGAGCATTCCCAGAATGTTCTCTCTGTCACTGTCTCTCAGTTTTAATGCTGCATTATAGGGCAAATCCCGATGAATGAAGACGGGCTACTTTGCAGTTTGGAGTAACAATGCTTCAAGTTTACTGACCAATGGCTTTCATGTATAATGTAGAGCCTAAGCAGCAAAGATATTGAGAACTGGACTTTAAGAGGCTTCATGAATACTTTACAAATATTATCACCTTCTGAATATTTTACAAATTTACACATATTATTTAACCCTCACATCAACCCTGGGACATAGTGCTATTATTACTACCATTTTACAGATAAGGTACCCAAAGTCAAGGAATGTTGAGTAACTTGGCCAGGCTAACACAGCCAGTAAGTACCAGAGAGGATTTGAACCTATGTCTTCCTCACTGCAGGTTCAGTTCTTTATTCAGTTCAGGACCTAGCCATTAGTCAAAGATCTCCTAAAAGCCAGTCCCAGTGAGAGCCAGCGGCCTGGATCTCTTATCAAACAGTAGGAGCAGGATGAAAATGATTTTGTGAGCTCCCTTCCAAGCCTTGTCATTCTCAGATGAAATGAATTCATATTAAGACTATGTTTGTCTGTCTATGGTACCTGGTAGCTTGAGATACTAATTTAGAAAAATCCTCTTCACATTCACATCCAACACAGTTATAGCTGACCACAGAATTTCCCTTCTTCCTAGAATTTTTCCTCTCCTGTGAAATCAGGGGACTTATTTTTGGTTTTGTCTATGACTATGAAAGGAACTCCAATTAGGGAGACTGAATTCCCCTGAAGCACACAGACGATTCCCGCAATCTACAGTCTGGAGAGTTGCTGGGGAAGATGGAGAGGCCAAGGTAGGGGAGGTGGGGAGCAGCATGGCTTAGCTCAGGTCCCCTAAGCAAGTCTGCATCTTGGATTCAGGGGTTAAATTCCAAGATGAATACATGATAATTTTCCTCCTGCATCATCACATACATCATTGTAGCTTTACAGCCAAACAGATTTTGGCTCCACGTAACTATGTTTTATAATTCACTATATAACATTTCTCCTACGTTTTAGGAATGATATTGAGTAGAGCGGATGCCTGCTAGCTACATAGCACTGTGAGATAACACAATCAGATGCCATAGACTCACCTTGAGGATGGTGGCCACCGTCTCCTGGGAAGCGTTTCTCATGTCTTCTCCATTCACAGACAAGATCTGGTCTCCCTGAATCAATCTGCCATCCAGGTCAGCAGCCCCTCCTTTCACAATGTCAGAGATAAAGACTCCACTTCCATTTCTGGCAAGATCACAAAGCAGGTGCCCAGTGACTCAGCCTGTTATCTTCTTTCACAAACACACCATTCCTAGAAGTTGAGACACACTAACTCCAAGCCACACGGCAGACTTCCACGTTCTTTCTGAAAGAATGATAACTCCTATACATACAAACGCTTTTAACTTGAGGTATATTTTGCATCTACTTACGTGTGTGTATGCTGCTTTATCCAGTAGAATGGAAACTCCTTAAGGCATTATTTAGTTTTCATCTTTGTATCCCTGGCACCCAGCACAGCGACTGGCATAACCGAGACACATAAAGTTGTTGAAGAATATAGATTTGTGTGTATGAGGTTTCCTTCAGTAGGATGGAAGCTCCCTGAGGGCAGGTACTATTTAGTTTGCATCTTTGTCAGGATTAAGGCTATAGAGTAGGATGTTATCTGCCAATGGCTTTGTACTCATCCGGCTTTTGAATTTGCTTACCAGGAAAAGCAAGCTTCATAGATTCTCCAACGACATTAAATGTCTGCCTCTTCTGGGGGGCCTTCTGGGCTGCAGGAAAGAGGGACTGATCGCTGACTTGGTAACTTTGGGCAAGTCACTTAACTGGTTTATGCCTTAATTTCTCCTTCTGGAAAAGGTAAATCCCATACATTTCTAAGGCTTCAGGAATATGGAAATAAACTCCTCAGAGGGCTTAAGATGTGAGCAAGAACTGCCTAGCATGAGACGGCGTGGATGGGCTGTAATCTGCACTTCTAGAGGGAGGGAAGGTATACTACATGGATGAGATCCTAAATCCAGTTAGGGATTAAACAAAATGGTGGCTCCTCCCCCAAGTGGGCAAACAAGGAATTAGCCAGCCAGCAAGCAAGCACCTACTCTGTGCTGAGCATTAAGCTGGAGACAGAAAGGCAAAAATGAAACACCGCCTGCCCTCCTGAGGGCAGGGGAGACATTTTGTGCATATATAAGCATATACAAAAGATATACAGGATAACGGGGGGAGGAGGAGTGGAGACTAATGGTGGGGAGGGATCAGAAAGGCCTCACATAGGAGATGGCTTTGATGGAAACCAGAGAGCCTAAGAAATGCAGGTGACAAAGCATGCATTCCAGGGATGAGGGACAGACAACCTGTACAAAGGAGTAGAGGTGGGAGAGGAGCTTTGCCAGTGTGGTAGAGTGCACATAGGGGGGTAATTCATAAAGCTAGAAAGACAGACCTTGAAAGTCAGGTTGTAAAGGGATTCATTTTTTAATTCAATTTTATTGTCAGCTCCAAATTCTCTCCCTCCCATATCCCCTCTCCCGCCATTGAGAAAGCGAGAAAAACAAAACCCATTACAGACATGCATGCACAATCAAACACAACAAATCCCCACATTAGCCATGTTCCAAAAAAAAAAAAAGCGCCTCAGTTTGCCCTCTGAGTCCATCAGCTCTCTATCTGGAGGTGAGTGGCCAGTTTCGTCATGAGTCCTCTGGAATAGCGGCTGGTCCTTGTGTTGATCAGAGTTCCTAAGTCTTTCAAGGTTGTTTGTCTTTACAATGTTGCTGATATTGGATACATTGTCTCCTGGTTCTGCTCAGTTCACTTCACATCAGTTCACACAAGTCTTCCCGGTTTTCCCTGAAACCATGCTGTGAAGGGCTTTAAATACCAACAGAAGACGGGTTTGTATTTTACTGTAGAGTAATAGGGAGATACTGGAGCTTCTCGACATGGTCAAACCTATGCTTTAGGAATATCCCTTTGGCAGCTGTGTGGAAGATGGATTAGAGAGAGGAGAAACTTCATATAAGACATAAATATATTTTGAAATTATTCTAAGAACGTGGACTGAAGTCATAACCACACAAGTCGGCTGCATTCGAATTAAGGATGAACATGGCTCTGAAGTGATTGTACTTTAGTACGTAATGCGGTCATTGGTTTGGGAAGCATACATGTATCAATATACACTATGAAGAATGTGAAGAGGCACATGGTAGTTTTATTTTCTTGAGAGTCACACTCAGAGGCTGAGGACCTCTGAGAACAGCTGTTTTAGCACCTTACCGTTTTCCAACGATGCTTAGGCCCAGTCCTCGGCCCGTTTTCTTCTGAAGGTCGACAGGGAAAATCTCCAAGTTTTCTTCATCTTTATAATGTGCTTCATCCCTGTAAACAACCAGTCGCACTTTCTGGGGTGTTTTCCTTAAGGCTGTTATAGCTTCCTCATGGCTGGCATTCCTCAGATCAATACCATTAACCTAGAAGAATAAAATGATCAGAGCAATTGTAATGAGCTCTTATATTTGGATAGAAATGATACTTTGACAAAGCATTTTCACATCAATTATTTCAAGCTCAGAACTGAACTCGAGAAGAACCCAGGGCAATAATTATGTCCATTTTACAGATGAGGAAAATAGAGGCTCAGAAAAGTTAACTGACTTGCCTCAAATCACAGAAGTAGTAAATGAGGGAGTTGGGCATAGAGCCATTCTCCTGAGCCACCCTCCTCTTTCCATCTCTTCTTGCTGACCCTCTGAAATGACCATCCCCATATTTCCCTGCATGAGACAATCTACTGCACCTTTAATTACCAGGCTCTTTTAAAAGACTAGCTCAAAACAATTTAGTGAGTATTCTAATGAACAACAAGTGATAGAAATTGCACAGGCAGATGAAGGCTTGATGTCAGGAAAACTTTGCTAACAATTAGAGCTATTCCACAGGATTTGCCATTAGGTAGTGCCTGGCACATAGCAGGCACTTAATCAATGGTTTATTCTCCTCATGAGGGCTCTGCAGTCAAAAGCTAGAGGACACTCATTGGCTATGTTTCAGCAGGGATTTTCATGCAAAGATGAGCTGGATGAAGTAGACGTGGAGGGCACCTCCAACACTGAGATTCTGCGATTCCAGGGCTGGTGAAGGCATGGCCTTTTTCCTTTTTACTACCTTGGAGGCTTATCTGCACTTACTCGATTCCCTCTCAGATTTCTTGTGTGTTTCAAAGGGCTATTCTGATGAGCTGAAGTAAGAGGGGACAGGAAGACTTCTGTCTGTTGGAAAGAGGCAACTGGCTGCTATATTTCAAGGAGTGCATTCAGTATTTGCATGTGGGCCCGTGGAACAAAAGGGGAAAAACACTAGCTTCAAAGAACCTCAGGTGCTTGGTGATTATTTTGCTTTTTCCCAATAGATGGCACACGAGACCATGATTTTACTCTATGTAAAGCAAGGGAGGAAAAAGCTCAAAGTACTGGAGCTGAACTTTCTAGGCTGCCAAATAGATCACACACACCACACACACACACAAACACACAGGGTATTTATTTAACTATAATAGTTTCAATTTTAATGAAAAGCATTACCCTCATAGCCCAGCAATCTAACACCACAAGAGCCGTGCTTATTTAATGCATTAGTATTTACAAAGGCCACATCCCAATGTTCCATTCTTAGTTCAAAGTTTCTATTTATACCTCAGTTTACCATATAATACTCGGGCATGCAGTAACAGCAGCTAAAAATATTAACTGATACACAGAAGTAATATCACGAAGAGTTTTATTATAATCAACAAAGTCACACAAAGATTTTATGCATTTTTAGAAGTACAATAGGGTCCCCAAAATTAACAGCTACTCATTTGGTTAGACAAAAGGGTCTTACTTTTTTTCCTGTCCACAGGAAAGGAAGAGAGAAGCAGCAGGGGTTAACAGATGGAGGGTTAAGCAGGCAGGAAGTCTCTATGCTTTGGAATAGCCTATTTAGAGAAGCTAGTCTGGATAGATTTCACAGAATCACAAAGCAGTGTACCCTAGTAGAGGGAGTACAGTCATGTCTGAATCAGTGCTATGGGTCAATGTTTCCTCATTTTTAAATAAGGGTAGGGCTGGACTAGATGACATCTAAGGCCCCTTCTAGCTCTGAAGCTACAATCCTATGACCCAGACGGCTTTCTAAAGCTATAAATTCTTGACAAGTTGCCAATTTACACTGGTGGATAGAATTTCCAGACTGGGACTTCATACTAATGGAATCACAGGTCTAGATCCCAAAAGGTACAAGAAGAAGGGGAGACAGACAAGGAGATCAAAGTATTCCATGAACCTACTACACTTAAGTAGCAAAAATTCCTCACTACTATGAATGACTCAAGATATATAAACAAATGTTGAGTTTTTACCTGCTACCAAAGTATAGACATTATCATGTCAGTTGATTAAGTGCCTCCTCTGTGCCAGGTGGGCAGCCAGGTGGTGCAGAGGATAGAGCACTGAGCCTGGAGTCAGGAAGACTCATCTTCCTGAGTTCAAGTCTGGGCTCAGACATTGACTAGCTGTGTGACCTTGGGCAAGTCATCTAACCCTATTTGACTCAGTTTTATCATCCTATAATGAGCTGGAGAAGGAAGCAGCAAACTACTACAGTATCTCTGCCAAGAAAACCCTAAATGGGGTCACAAAAAGTCAGATACAGCTAACAACAACAACAGAAACAATAACAAATGTGCTGTGTTAAGTGTTGGGGATTTAAAAAGAGGCAAAAGTCAGTCTCTGCCCTTACGGAACTCACAATCTAATGGGAGAGACAACAAGCAAACAGTTATGTACAAACAAGCTACACACAGGATAAATGGGAAATGATTAAGAGAGGGAAGGCTCTGGAATTAAGAGGTTCTGGAAAAGGCTTTTGGTAGAAGATGGGGCTTTAGTTGGGAAAGGAAGCCAGGGAAGTCAGTACAGAGAGATGAAGAGGGAGAGAATTCCAGTTATGGGGAACAACTAGAAAAATGTCTGGGGACGACAGATGGAGTATCTTGTTTGTGTGATAGCCAAAAAGCTAGTGCCGCTGGATCAAAAAGCATGTGGGTGAGTAAGGTATAAAAAGACTAGAAAGGTGTAGGGTTTTGTGTGTGTGTGTGTGGTGTGTGTGTGTGTGTGTGTGTGTGTGTGTGTGTGTGATGAGGGGCTCTGAATACCAAATAGAGGATTTTATATCTGGAGATGATAGGAAGCCCTTGGAGTTTATTGACTAGGAAGAGCTGACAGAACTTTAAGAAGACCACTTTGACAAATGAGTGAAGGATGGGTTAGAATGGGGAGAGACTGGATGAAGGCAGACCCGCCTAATAGCTACTGCAATAATCTAAGCATGAGGCCTCGGTCTATACCAGGGTAGGGACAGTGTCAGAGGAAGAAAGACGGCTACTAGAGAGACACTGTAGAGGTGAAATCTACAAGAGAAGCTGCAGAGGTGAAATCTACAAGAGAGGTTGCAGAGGTGAAATCTACAAAAGAGGCTACAGAGATGAAATCTACAAGAGAGGCTGCAGAGGTGAAATCTACAAAAGAGGCTACAGAGGTGAAATCTACAAGAGAGGCTGCAGAGGTGAAATCTACAAAAGACGCTGCAGAGATGAAATCTACAAGAGAGGTTGCAGAGGTGAAATCTACAATATGGAGCCGTGTAACTGACTGGCCTCCAAAACAGCTTGGATGTGGATAAGAGGTAGTGAGGAATCCAGGATGATGCCTAGGTTGTGAGCCTATGGGTTTGAGATGATAGTGTTGTCCACTACAATAATAGGAAAGGTCCCGGCTAGAGGAAAGAGTTAGAGGGAGAGAGAATGAATTCAGTTTTGGACACTGAGTTTAAGATGTCTACTTGGACAGCCAGCTTGAGATGTCTGAAAGGTAAATGGAGATGTGAGACTGGAGGTCACACACAGTCATTAATTTAGGATGATTAAGGGCCAGGCTATGGAGTATCCAAAAGGCTCTAGCATAGTCCTTCCGTCTTGTTATTCATGGCACCAGACTCTCCTGACTCCAGCTATTTTCATTGACTGTTCCCAAAGCCTGAAATCCTCTCCCTCCTCACCTCTGCATTCCTGGTCTCCCTGGCTTCCTTCTAGACTCAGCTAAAATCCTAGCTTCTGCAAGAAACCTTTTTTATGCCATTATTTCCATCTCTATCTTAATTGTACACAATTATTTGAGTGATGGCTCTTCCATTAGATTAAGAGCTCCTTAAGGGCAAGGACTATATTCTTACGAAGTAGGTGATTTAGAAATGCTCATTCCTTTTTTCCCATTTCCCCTTAGGGTAATTTATCAAAGTCAAAACAGTTGATTCTGGGTAGGAAAGAGGGTAAAAATTGAAAGTTAGCAGTATAGGCACCTGAACAGGAGAAGGTTTGGGACCATAACTTGGGAATTACAGGCCTGGAGGACAGGATGCCTTAGTCAAATCTGAGGTGAAAGACCAGTACTGGAGTTGTCCTGCAGCAAAGGACATTTTTGTTCAGATAGAGAACGGGCTAGATGCTTTCTGAGGCTGGGAGTCAGGAAGGCCTGAGTCTGAATCTAGTCTCACACACACTTACTGTGTGATCCTGGTCTGTGCCTTGTAAACGGAGGAGGTTGGATTCAATGCCCTCTAAGAATGCTACCAGCTCTAAGTATAGGATCCCTTTTAAATACTAAAAAATGTTTATTTTTAAATTTTCACCTTCATTTCTAAATATATCTCTCCCTCTTCCATTACTCGGTAAAGTATCCCTTCAAGAGTAAATAGAAGAGCTCACATGCACGTGCCCACACCCCAGTAGAGAAGACTGGTCAAAAGTCTGATGGTTTGTGCATCGAATGATGCACTACCTCTGAAAAGAAGGGTCATTTTCTCCCTCCCTTCCTTCCTTCCTTTTTTCCTTCCCTCCCTCCTTTCTCCTTCCCTTTTTCCTTCTTTTTTTTCTCCCCCTCTTTCTCCTTCCCTTCTTCTCTTCTCTTCTTTCTCTCCCTCCTTCCTGTTGTGGACATTCCGTACATTTTCTTCTCCTGCTCCTCTCTCTGTTTGATCCCCTTCAGCTCAGAGTTTCCATGTGTCTTTTACGCACCTAATTAAGTTGCCTAGTTTTGTGTCCATGACTTGTCCCAACTAAGGTTGGTCAAGTATCCTGTAAATGCTTGCAATGGGCCATAATGGGAGGATAATGGGGGCCAGAGCATAGGGTGATGCCATATGTACACTGAGCAGGGTAAATCCAGGATGACTGGAGAAACCACTCAGAATGGGTCCGCCACGTCAACACCTTCAGAGTCCTGTTAAGTTATTATATAACCAAATGAGATCTTTGTTTTCCAAACTACGCATGGCCTGGTCTGTCTGGCACTGAAGTCATGCTAGGATGGATTCCTGATGGAGATGACAGACTAGCTTTTCCTGGATGGTCTGAAAAGGAAGATACAGACCCATC